CAAGAATGTCTGGAAGGACATTCAAAAGTCACGTATGACCTGGCGTTAGTTCTTAAAGATCTGGGACTGTATTGCGCATTTCAGCATGGCTAGCAGCCCTGGTCCCTCATCACTAACTGGCAGCAGCGCCCTTCCCAGTCATGTCCCCACTCTCAAAGTGGCCTCTGATTCCATTGGGAATACTTGCTATACAATACACTAGCCAGAGATCGTTTACTTGGTGATTTCCAGTTCTTTTCTCAAGTTGAATTATCTGAGGGGTCCCTTGTTAAGTTCCAACTACAATGGAGGAATCATTTCTTCAGGGTAGCTTGATGGAATCTCAAAAAGCAGTGGAAAGTGAATGGGTCTATGATATCCTTTATGTATGTATTTTACTTAAATTACAAACAGCCTTGGCTTTTCAGTGATGTATAACAACATACTATCTCCACCCCCCCCCCCCCCACCAATTATTGGCCTGTGGGTCAGCAGAGATTCCGCCAGGGTTCAGTTAGTTAACTCTAGGTTGAGAGGCAGATATTGGTCACCGGTACGGCCAAGCTGCTGGAGAAAACTTTCCTTACTTTGGACATCACTAGCAGCTTCTGATACTCTCCTCAGCGAGTCAGTCTAATCGGCATCGCTGAAAACAGCTCTTTCACTGCAATGGGGACTGGAAGTGTGAGTTTCTAACATGGCCATCTTATGTAGTGCGAAGCTGACTCCCAGGTGGGTGTATCTGTCAGTTGCGTTAGCTCATGTTGTGCAACAACCAACCATCCAAATATCAACAGCTTAAAACAACACATAGTTACTTATTTTCCCATATACTATATCAGTTGAGTTAAGCTGTTGGTTCTGGGCTCATCATAATCTGTTTAGAACCTGGGCTGCGAGAGCAGACACCATCTCAAAATTTGCTTTTCACTACACCAGAGACAGATAGCTTGGTGAACTGGTCTTTAAATGAACAGCTCGCCATGACAAAGTTCACTTCCAATTTATTTTATCAGCCAAAGCAAACCACCTGACTATACATAATTCTAAGACGTATGGAACATAAAATCCTGTTATGTGTCTGGAAGATTCTGGAAATAGATGGAGTATGATGTGAAATTTCCCAAACATGGAAAGGGAGTGCAGAGGCTGGGCAACCATACAAGAGGACAAATGTCCACCAGACCCTGTCTTATTTATATATTTTCTACAGACTGCCATGCTCAGTCTAGCTCAGTACCTATTAGCAACATAGTGATGAGTGAATGTCTATTGAAGAAAAGGATATGAATAAGATTGTTTAGCTTCCCCAAATTCACTATAATTGAAGCTTAAATAAAGCTTCTTTGCTATTTTAATTCCACACTGCAAAGCACGATAACTCTAAGTGTTGTTTGTATGCAGTGTTGCATTTAGAAAGTTAGAGTTGGAGTGGTACACTGGAAAGAGAGAGAGAGAGAAAAGACGCTTCGTTCCAATATTGCTTTGAATGCATTCATTTGTTTGTTTCCCCTACAGTGGAAACACTTTTTCTTGTGCCTCGTGACCAGTTTGGGACGTGGTGGATATTCAATAAAGGGAGTTCTGCTATCATGAGCTGTGTCGTCATGGGGAAATCACACACACACACACACACACACACACACACGCACGCACACACACACACACACGTCTTAGTACTATCTGCCTCTTGTAAGGATCTCTAGACTATGGGGAGCATACAATTGTGATTGGGGTTGTCATGTGATGCTACTTACAGCTCAGCCCCTGCTGCAAGGATTCATTCAACAGAGGCTTACTGACTTTACCACAGGCACCATGTGCTCTATTTGTAGTGAATGGGGTGCCTATCTCGGAAAGCGTGCAGTGCATTTCAGGGGTTTGTTCAGGGACCTGGCTGCCATCAAATCAATACTCAGAACATTCAACAGGCTCCCTCCCACCCGGATCGCTACTCAAAGGTCAGACTCTTCCCCAACCGCCAATGGGCTCCCCCGCTCGCGTCCCTCCCTGCCTCCGCTCTCCAGGGCCCCGCCCACCCGCCGCCAGCCAACCGCCGCGAAGCCCCGCCCCCGAGGCGGCCGTCCAATCGGCGGCGCGGCCGGGGCCCAACCCTCGCGAGCCACGTGACGCGCCCAGGCCCCTTCCGGGGCGTCGCGGGCGGCTGACGTCGCCGGGACCGGCGTCGCGTCTGGGCTGGCGGCGGCGGCGGCGGCGATGGCAGCGGACAGCGAGCGGGCGTGAGGGCTCGGACCTGCTTCCTCCGGCGCCACCTCGGCGCGACCCGCCTCCGAGGCTCCCGTTCGCCTCGCTCCTGCTCGCTCCCCGGCGCCGCCGGGCGGAGGCGGAGGCGGAGGCGGTGGCGGCGGCCCGGGCTGGCCGCGCTGCTAGTGCCCGGCTCGGCCCCGGCCGGCCCGGCTGCTGTGCGGACAGGAGGCCGAGTCGGTAAGAGGCGGCGGCGGCGGCGGCGGGGCCGGAGGCCGCCCGGCCCGCCTGGCCGCCCGGGGCTCCCACGCGGGTGTCCCTGCGGCCGCTCCCTCCCTCCCGCCCGCCCCTCTCCTCCCGGCACTCGCCGCCCCTATTGTCTGGGCGCCGCTCCCTCCCCCCTCCTCCCCCGCCGGGCCCGGCGGCTGTCAAACCTGGAGGCGGCCCCGTCCCGCCTGCGCCGCCGAGCCTTTCCTGCCTGCCTCCTGCCCCCTCCTCCCCCTCCCGCCCCGCACCGCTCCCCACCTTCTCTATTTTACTTACTTTTTCCTTTTTTGTGTGGCCCCGCCGCCACGCTCTGGCCCTCGCTTCACTTTCCAGGTGTTGCATCTTCGCGATCACGATCTCTCCCCACCTCGTTGTCGCCCCCCCACAGCCTAAACCGCCCTGACTTTGGCCCCTCCGTCCTTCCTATGTCCACGCCTGCCCGGCCCCTCTCCGCCCCGCTCGCGCGCGCGCTCTCTCTCTCTCTCTCTCTCTCTCTCTCTCTCTGCTCCACGTCCTCCCGCCCCAGAGACCCGCTGCTGCTTGACTTTGTCTGACTTTTCCCTCCATTCAAAGCCCTCCTCATGCTCCCCGGCTAGCCTTTTTGGTTGCTCACACCGAAGTGATTGTAGCTCAGCTCTGCTACTTCTCAGGGGCTTTGAGTTTAAGCCTAGAAGAGGGGAAGGGCCCCCCCAGTCAGCTCTTCCCAGGAGGAGCAGCAGAAAAGGCGGATTCGACCTTTGGGGATCTCTCTGCCTTGCATGTTGCAAACTGGCGAGACCTCTATGAACACAGTCTCATTTTTGTTCCTTTTACACCAAATGCACTCCCGGCCGCGCTTCCTGTGAACGTGAATGCACTGGTTGCTGCTGCTGCCATGGCAGGAGGATATGGCTCCTCTCTCCCCTCCCCCCAGTCAGGAGTATTTGAGTTTGATTTTTATATATTTTAAATAGCAAGTATTGGTGTTAATTTTCCCCCTTATCAGAGTTTTTTGTTTTTTCTCTCCCCCCCCCCAAAAAAAAGTAAAGGACAGTTGGTTTTGTTCATTTTTTATTTTTTAAAATTTAATGTTTATTGAATTTATTGGGGTGACATTTGGCTAATAAAATTGTATAGGTTTCAGGTGTACACTTATATGATGCATCATCACTCCAAGTCACGTCTTCTATCACCATTTGTCTCTCCTACCTCTCCTCACCCCCTTTCCCTCTGCTGATCACAATACTGTTGTCTGTTTTTTACTTTGTTTGGTTGTTTTTTTTTGTGTTTTTGTTTGTTTTTTTGTGTTTTGTTTTTTTCTTACGCCCTTCACCATTTTCACCCAGCGCTTTCCCTCTGACAGCTGTCAGTCTGTTCTCTGTCTCTGTGTCTGTGTTTATTGTTAAGTATTGTCCCTTTCGAATTGTGACCAAACTATTAAAATGTTTACATATTTGTGTGTTTTTCTTTTTAAACTGGGAGGGAAAACTGCCATATTAATCATCCTGAATATCCAAAAAGGCTTTAGGGATCCCCTTGCACTCCTGATTACCTGTGATCTTTTGGCAAGGCTGCCTTAATGTGCACTTAAATGACTCGGGTACCAACCAGGTCCTGAGCGGAAAAGAGGCTGCCTCAGTGAGCTGGGTGGCCATTGGGGCTGGAGGATAGTAGTGCACCTGTCCGCCATCTAGAGAGGAACAGAGCCATAGATACTCCTCTGTAGTGTTTGTTTGAACGCTACACCCACTTATTGTCATTGCTGAAATTGTCAGAGGTCCTATCTATATTGAAATTTTGTAGAAATGAATTCTCAGAATCAGAAAAAACTCATCATTGTGGCTCATTGAATTCAGCGAAGTATAAGAAAAAAAAATTTCCCTTGCAGCTTTATGTGTTAGGTTAAAATGATTGAATCATTTGCTACCACGTGGAAGGTCAGCGAATGAGAAGTCCTAACCACAGAGGAATGGCCAGTCTTCCTGGCGGAGGGTGTGGTCACTGTTGCTTCCATCTTTGTGTGCCCCTGCCTCAGTGGCTTATCAAAAGCCTGTGGAGTTACAAGGCACCCAGTAAACATTTGGTGAAAAATGTACTTAACTTGTTCTCAAAAACCTCATTAGTCATATTCCAGACGCTCAACTGTCTTGATTTTTCAAAGACAGGAAAACATTTTCAGTCATTACTGTGGAGAGTTTTCCAAGCTACAATTTATTTAGTTTTAATGCCCATCTATTTATTCTTTTTAAGTAGTTATCTTCTTAATGTCCTTTAAATTTTTAATTTTAATATGTATTAAATTGAGGTGACATTGGTCAACATGAACAAATAGGTTTTAGGTGTAATGTCTTTTTTCTTAATCCATTTTCAAGATTGCCTGTAAGTTGCACAGTACTCTACCTAGAGATATTGATAATCATATTCAGATTTCTTAAAAATTTGGCTGTTACTTCAACTTGTAATGTTTTAAAATTTTTGTTTAATTCCTTATGCATGTTATGCATCTGAATCTAACTTTGTTTCCTTTCTTGAGGTAGAGAAAAGAGAATACTGAAGAATAGTATCTCAAGATGAGTAAAAAGCCCCCAAATCGTCCTGGAATCACTTTTGAGATTGGGGCTCGGTTGGAGGCACTGGACTACTTACAGAAATGGTATGAAAAATCGGAGCTCGTTACCTGAAGCACATGTGTGTAGTCTTTTCGTATGTGGGTTCATCACTGTTCTCCTGACCGTGGCAGGAATACTAACGTATTCACATTTTGAAGATGTGTACACATTGGTTTTTAGTTTCCCTGCTCTTCAGGCTTTGCAGGTTTAGCATCTAAACACTGTTGCTGGTCAGAAGCATTTTAGGTGTTGGAAAACTGCAGATGAGTGCGGAGGATCTGAAATATAAAGAGAGTGTCAGTACCCTTGTGTAGTTAACTGGAGCTGCGGTGGGAGGAAGGGGTTAATCCAGATAACCAGCTTCCCAGGTTTGGGATAACACTTTCACACTCCAGCTTTTGTTGATGGTTAGCATAGTCATTGTTCACTAGCCCGCCTAAAAGCCAGACCACCTTTCTTCCCCCTTTCCCAGCCATCTGGGAGAAGTGGTGAACTCAGACGCCTCAGCATGCCCCTCATCGTGGCGTGGGGAAAATCAGTTACATGAGATAAAACCACCCCCTGGAAAAGAGAGAAGGAAGCACAACATGCAAAGGTCAGGGGACCACAGGAGGCACAGGGTTCTCTCCTCCTTCCCTGAACGGGGCTCTTCGGCTCTCTGGGACGGTGTCTCCCGGCGCCATTCTCAGCCCCGACCCCGGGAGGGGCAGTGGAGGGTTCCTCCTGGGGAGATTCTGATGAGGCTCTAGCAGTTTAGCAGCTCCAGGGCTGTCTTCCAGACCTGACGTTTTCTCTCACTACAACTCCCTTCAGGTGGCATCCATAGAGGTGCTTTTGATGGGTCTGTATTAGGTGAGCTTCTTGAGTTGGCAATGGCAGGTGGAGAAAATCTTGTGTTGTCGTGATGTTTGACGTGAGACCAGCCTGGGGCTTTGTCTCTCAGCATCTGGCGTTAGGACTCTCCACATGTCCCTGACCCCCAGCTAAGGAACTCTGCCGTGGCCTCTGCTTTGGGACAGTTTGAAACTGCAGTTTGAGGTGGGAAGACACAGCTATATGGCCCCGTGCCTTCCAGCTGCACCTCAGTGGGTACTCCTTTGTAGGGGACCTAGTTGTTACTCTCATCAGGTGGCAGGTGTACACAGTAGTTCTCAGTAGCGGCTTGGGCAGCACCTGGGAAGCAGGCAGTAGCATCCTACCTGGTCATAAAATTTATCTCCAGACATGCTCCTGATTGAGAACCACTGTGTGAGGCCTGCAACCAAGCATGCCAGCTTAGTGATGGGCTGTTGTGACCAAAAGCTATGAAGGCAGACTTTTGAATCTCTGTGTGATACACGAGTATGAGAAATGTTACTTCTCATTTCTTTGATGTTAATCTTAAATTCTTTTTATAAGTTACTGACTTTATAAATTACTAGTTAATTAATAGAAATATATTTTCTTAGGCTTTCAAACTGACCAAGTTGTAATTGAACTAACAGTTTTGGAGAAGCACACAGTTTATTAGTTTTCAGGGATATTACCATAATTAACTTTGATATTAGTAAAAATTCACTTTAAGTGGTGAAATTTTTATTTATTTAATAGTTGTTAAATTGATAATCCAATAAAGTAAAAAGATTATGAAAAAGAAACACTTTAAAAGTCTAGCTTGAGTGTACTTTCAGAATATTTGGACCTTCAGAGAACAAATGAAAATTGTAGTTTAAATATTTTCATTGTCTTATGCTTCTCATCACAAAATTCTTAAGTGCTTAGGTAGGGTGGTAACATGCATATGTACTCATTAATTAAGTTTAGATTTAATTTTAATGACCCAAATAATAATGGCCTCTTTAAGTAAACTTTAGCCAAAATAATTACATGTGATAATTATTGAAACTTGTCATCAGATTGATTTTTATGAGCTTACTTATATGAACATTTTAGCATACTGCTACAGTTGATACCTTAATTAAAAAATAATTAGGAATATTGTATATGCATATTCTAAGTAACTGAAAAAAATAATTTTCCTATTGTGACTTTGTTTATTAATATCAATAGATTCGAGTACTTATTAAGCTTAGTTGACCTTATGATTTAGTATTATTATAGTGCTTTATCATAGGACAGTAATTCATTGCTAATATTTACTGAGTTTTCTGTGAGGCACAAAAGAAGTTCAGTGAAACAAAATCGATTTTAGTTCCAAACTAGAGGCCCAGTGCACGAAATTCGTGCATGAGGGGGGTTGCCTCAGTCCAGCCTGCCTTCTCTCTAATCCAGGCTTCTTAGGCATGTCTGACTGCTGGTTTAGGCATGATCACCCCTCAAACTGCTAGGGCTTATACTCCATGTTTTTGAGGTGATGATAAGATCTTTGTTTCTGCAGAGTTTTATGGTTTACAAAACACCCTTGCAAATATTAAAGTACCTAATCATTCTGAAATTCTAAATAGTGTTTAAATTGTACTGGTTTGACTATTGATTTAACTTTGTCTTTTGATTGAGATGAAAATACTCTATGGCAAGCAATTGGATTATGAAACAAGTCAAGTCGTATGGAGTCAAGTTAAAACATTCAGAGGAGTTATGCTTTCCTGACTGTTTTGGGGACTTTTCTATTTAGGTCTCTTCTAGATCTAAAGGAAAGGAAAATGAAAGATTAAAACTGTGGAGATGTCTTCAAGTGTCAGAGTTTGATAGAACAGTATAAATTTGAATTGGCAAATGCTGTTTCCACACATTTGGAGTGTTTGAACTGTATGGAACATTTGCAAATGTGAGTTTTTAAGATGTTCATGAACATAATTTTAATAGAGTGGGAAAGGTGAGGAAATTTAGATTGTACCAAGTACAAATACCTTCTAATTTAAATGAGTACATGGTTTCTGAATAGGAAGGGTTGCTTTTTCCTAATTGGATTTAGCTTCTCCAAAGGAAACATTGTAGAGATAAGCTGTGCAGTCTGTATTTGGAGAAGAAGGCTCTTGAAAGTAGTACGTGAACCAAATTTAAAACCAGAAGTCATATTTTAATTAAGTAAGTTTGAAACTTGTAGAAACCTTAGGTGAGTACTTTTTAAATAGAAATCCTTTTGCTAATATGAATAGAATTTTGACTTTTTGTAAATTGGGTTTTCCTAAATCTCTGTGTACTTGAAAAGTATTAATTCTTATTTTGAGCCACTATCTACCTTAGAGAACCTAATTTCAGCTATTAGTATAGACTCAGAAAACTGTACAGTCACATTTATAAGTGAAAATAATTGAATTATATATTATGGTGCTCTTAGAATACTTATCGATGGAGTCCAGATAAAGGACCCTTGCTGCAGAGAACTTCAAATTAAAATGAACAAGATTTCTTCTTAAATTCTGAGATGGTTTACATTGGGAAAGTCACACATTTTGAAACTTAAAACCTAAGGGAACTTTCAGTTTTAGTCATCAAGCAGGTCTGTACCAGTGCACAAGCACTTGAGTTCTTCAATTTTAAATTTCCACAAAAAAAGCCCCATAAACTTTTAAAGATAAAGTTCTCCTTCTCCCTACAAAAAATGTTGCCAGCAAGATTAGAAATGCAAGTTAATTTAACTGGAAGTCAGAAACGTGGCTTCTAAATGCTGTTCTGCCACGAACTGTGTGACTTTGGAGAGTACTTTCTGCTTTAATGTCCTTAAAAGGAGGGCATGACTTAGCAGATGACCTTCTGGTTCCCTTGAATTAGAAACCTTCAGTGTAAAAGTCTGGTTTCCACCTGTCCAGTGATGAAGTGAGGGTAAGTTTCTGTGTCTTACATAGGTATGTAACAGACGTGAGGCAGAAGTAAGCTAGACAAGGGGTAGAGTCATATATATAGTTCAAAACTGCTGGTCACTAGAAGAGAAAATGAGTTGAAAAAAGTGGAGAAAGGTGAATATATTTTGGAATAGAAATTTAGAGGTTTGAACTATTTGGAGTTTAGTGATATTAGACAGGTATTTACCCTTTATCCAACCAGCTCTATCACTTTTTTAAATGTTTTTCCTTTAATTGTTTAATTTTGAAATTACTTCGAGTCATAATGGTTGGTTTAAAAAAGTATATTTGTCCAATAGGACACTTTAGGTCACTAACTTTCTATGTGGTACCAATTTACTAACACATTGCTTCCTTTATAAGGTTCATTGACACTAAAGTTTTGAAGTGATTCTGGCAGTGATTCTCAAACTTGAGTCTCTATCATAATCTCCTGAAGGGCTCGTTAAGCAGAGATTGCAGGGCCCGGTACCCACAGCTTCTGATTGAGTAGGTCTGAGGGAGCCCAATTATTTGCAAGTTTCCAGTTATGCTGATGTTGCTGGTCTGGGGCGCACCTATGAGAACCACTGGTCTAAACTATACAGAATTATGAACCTGGAGATAGAGCTTTTGATCTGAATAGCAATGGAAATATCAGGATTTATAGTCTGATTTTAATTCTTTACGTTAGTCAGAGAAATAAAATGTAAGCATTTTGCAAAACGATACGATCCAGAAATCTGTTTTTGCTGTTTTTTAATAGAATTGGATATATTGACCTGCATGTACTTTCCTCAGTGTTCTTGCTCCTCTTTCTGCAACCTCCAGCCTCATCTGGCTGGATGGCTTGGTGTAGGCCCTTGACATGTTTGGGTTCTGAGATGTTACTGTTTTATTCCAGGTGATATGGCCAAAAGATTCAAGTCTTGCAGTTTATTTTGCTTCAAGTCTAGTAACCTCTTACCACACCCTTTGCTTCTCATATAGATGCCTAGAGCTTTGAGCCTCAGCTCCAGAAGCAGCTGGGCTCAGTGTTCAAGGCCATCTTAGTTCCTGACTGGTGCTAGTGATGTGCATGTTTCTGGAGCGTGGAAGGGCCCCGAGGGTCCAGGATGCTCATGTTACTCTTTCCCTGGAATTATACACGTCTGCAAGGCAGGGTAATTTCAGGTCTGTCTGTCCTAGGTCTTCCTCCCGAGATTACCCTAGAATCCAATCTTCAAGCCCACGATTTCCTAGCCTCCCTCATCACTGTATAACAGTGTAAAGTCTAGAAA